GGGACCAAAACTGAAAAAATTGTCAGTTTGAAATATTTTGCCTATGGTGTTACAGGTGACACCTGAGGTTAATGTAGTTGCTAGAGACTGCAGGACAAAACAATCTATTTCTACAGCTCTTGATTGGACTCCATTTCTTTGTCTTCTCCTGGTTAGGCCTTCACCCTCATTTGGAACCACAGCTCCTCTGTGCTCTGTCTGTTGACTAAACCCCTCCTGCTTAAGTGCAGTCACAAGACACAAGGCTGAATTTTGCCTTAAAACTTTAACTTTTTTAATAATCAATTTTCTAATTACAAGCGGATGCTTCAGACTGTGCAGTTGATCTGATTAATGTGATGATTAATGCTTTCTTAAGGTGTACCAGAGGCAGTAGGTAAGTGCACATTAAGTGTTCATTAAACTACCCTGATGCATGGCATATTGCACTTTATTGTTTAAAGTATCCTGTGAAATACCTTTCACTTCAGAAAAGAAAGAGGGATTATGAGCCTGGTGTTAAATACAGAATGAAGAATCCTGGGGAAATAGTTTATAAAAACAAAGGGGGAGAAAGTAAAAGATTAAAAAAAAATCAATGCTAGAAGAGTCACTGTGTAGTGAACAACTCCGTGTTGATCAATACAACTGGCACTTCTCAGAGACAGGTAGGGCAACCACAAGAATATTTTACAGGAAAAATCAATAATCACAGTTCAAGAAACTAGCACACTTATTTATAACATTGACATTATAAACAGCATACTACCTAGTGACTTCCTTGTGGGGGGAAGCCAAACATATTCCCCTCCTCCCCTATAATCTTTTTCCCTTGCTTTCCCTTGGTCAATAACTTTTCAGCCAGGGAATGTAATTTCTACCATACATTTTTTTTCTCAGGTTTGCATTATAATTTGCTGGAGAGATGAGACACTTCACTTTGACCTGTAGCTTTGAAACCTTGTGCATCTTGCCCTGTCAAAGAGGAAGGATAGTCTTATGGTTAAGGCACTGCATTTGGATCCAAGGGGTAGAGATTGCATTCCTGACTACCACAGAGTTCCTGTGTAATCTTCAGTAAATTGCTGAGGGCCATGTTTTCAAAATCAGCTTTTTGATTGCCCAACCTGACCCACATTGGTTTTGATTTGGGTCAGGTTTTATTTTGACTGTTCCATCATTATGCTGAGATATAGATGCTAAGAGCCATTTCTTTTCTACCTTTGGGTATAATTAGTACCTTCGTTTCTGTATTTTTTTTTATTCACTTTTCTTCCTATTCTTTCCAATATTTCAGCAAATAGTTCTTCAGAATACTGAATATTCAAGAGAACTGAAACAGCTCCAGCCTCAAGAAATATCCCATCAGGAAACAGTCTGTGGTTACTCGATCTTCATGCATGCTCCTCCTACTAACAAAGTGCCTGAGTCAGTAGGAGTTGCATGCATGGATCAAGACCAGTGTTTGAATGTGTATTTGAGCACACAATGAGCATACCAAACCCACTCCATTATTCATTTTTAGACCAGTTTCTCAGTCAAATAAGGACTGCCAGGCCAGGGGCTCAGCACTCTCAACCCGTGGGCTTCACTGGGAGTTCTCAACCTCTCATAGAATAAATTACCCAAAGGAAGAAAGGGAAATATCTAAACAAGGCTGAAATGGCAACATTAATAAGGACAGCATGCCCTCATTTCTATAGTAGGTATTACATTTATGTATGCCTTTGTTTACCCATGAAGAGGTTGTTCCGCTCGGTTGGAGTCCGATTCAGAAGTAGATACACTTGTCACACCCTCTGAGACAACCCTCTTTCTCTTTTATTCCCTTAAATGATACCATTCATTCAGAAGGGGATTTGTGCTGCTGAATTTCACCTGGAACAAGACATTCAGCTCCTATTGGAATCACTTCTGAGACCAAGCTTACAGTTTCAAGACTACACCTGCACAGAATATGCCTGTAGCACTCAGCAGGGAATGTGGACTAATTAAATATGAGCTGATTTAAAACGATTACTTCATCCAAGAAGCAAGAGCTAATAATTATATGGAATGAGATGATTACCTGGAACAAGATGATAAAACTGCTAATATTCCTGTTAATAGTATGAATGGGGAGCCTCTCTATTAAAACCAGAGTGCAGTGTACTGTAGGTTAATTAAAAAAATACAAAAAGCAGAACTTCTGCAGCTGTACGTCACCATCATATTTTGTCTAGTCTGTCTCAAATAACCTATTCTGAGAAGAACCACCCTCTTTTAACAGGATCTTGCACAGCTGTCTGGGCCATTACCTGCCCTTCATCTATAAGTAATGAGCAATTTATTGCATGGTAAAAGAGAGAAGGTGAGTAACTGCCCATGTGCACACCCTTATCCCCAATAAGGGCTCATAATTGTGGTATCTTCATAAAAGTCAGTGAGAAAAAGACGTAAGTTACCATAATTTGTCTCCTCTGACTATAGGGTAAGAGTGTGCTTATGAGCAGTTACTTACTAGGTAGCATCTGATACATGGGTAAACCTACACCCTGTTTTCTGTTGTGGCATACTGTTCACCCTCCTAGGAGAAGAAGAAAGAAGTGCTATGTTAGGGGAGCTGGATGTAGGATTCACTTGGCAACAACCATAAATGCCATAACAATGGTGTTGCATGAGTTCCTCTTCCAGATTCAGATTAGAGGACAGAGTGAATAGATGACTGAGTTGGGAAAGCCATAGGATATAATAAGGTCTACTCCATGAATTATCAAGACATGGTAGTATTTACAGCAAGTGGTACAGGTGTGCAAAATGTGATTAGGTCCTATGCATTTCTTGGTTTTTTGTTTTTTGTTTGTTTGTTTGTTTTTTTCTGGGCTCCTGTACCTTGATACCCCCAAAGGGAGACTGTTTAATATGCCTGTAACTTCTACTAGGCACTTTGGACTTGGCCCCTTATATCTGGGGTTGAAACAGAAAGGACATATACCAGATGCTGCAAGATGTCACCTTCAACATATTGTACAGATGTGTACTCCCTTGCCTCCTATCTTATACAAAAAAAATGAACTGGTTAAAATGTTGCTCCTTATCACCTGTAGGCAGCCAAGTTAACACCACATGGCTGTCACAGGTAGCGTTCCAAGGTAGCCATCAGGTTCAAGGAGATATCGCTACATCAGTTACACTCAGCCCATAATTTGGGAACTTTCTATAAAACCATGATAGCCAAGCCTATTTTTTTTTTTTCAATGAAAAACTGAGATTCTGAGGGGGAAAAAATAGCAGCTTGAAAGAGGTGCCAGGATGTCAAGCCACTGTGTACTAGCTCAATCTGAGTCTTGTCTCATCTTAACCACAATGTTCTCTATTTTAGGGATGACCCAGTTGCAGAACATTAAATTACTGGTTACATCAAAACAAATTCTGTGTTCAAAATCTCCCACATCTTCCTAAAAGCCTTTCACAGTGACATCTTCACCACTTTCTGCATCAGCTCAAGCACTGATTCCATTGGATGAACCTGATCCTGTCATCTGTATTCGACCCAAATTCCAACTGAATCAAGATGGTAGGACTCCAACCTCTAGGGCTCCAATATATCAGTGAACTTAAATACTTGAAGAAGGGTGTGGACAGACTGGAAAGAGTCCAGCAAAGAGGAAGAAAAATGATTAGGGGCCTGGGAAGCAAGACTTAAGAGGAAAGGCTAGAAGAACTAGGGTTTTTTGTCTGGAGAAGAGAAGACTGAGGGGGGATTTGATAACAGTCTTCAAATACCTGAAGGGCAATTTAAAAAAAATGGAGATGGTCTTTTCTTTGTGGCTGTAGGGGATAGAACTAGGAGCTATGGCTTGAAGCTGCAGCAGAGGAAATGTAGGATAGAGATTCTATCTAACTTTCTGACTATGAAGGTGGCCAAGCATTGGAACAAGCTACCTAAAGAAGTTGTGGAATCTCCATCCCTGGAAATTTTCAAGAGCAGATTGGACAGACATGTGGCTGGGATGACTTAGTCAGGGACTATCCTTCCTTGAGCAGGGGCTGAACTAGAAGACCTTATGAGATTTCCACCAGCCCTACTTTACTATGATCCTATGTTCATACTTCCATTGGCTTCCAGGAGGGGTGTGAAGAGGGTATTCATATCTTAAGAATTAAGCACATATTTAAACAGACAAGGTTCTTTGGGTGAATCTGATATCTTTTATTAGACCAACTTAGATGGTTGGAAAACAATTATTAAGCAAGCATACCAGACCAGCCTCCGGATTTTTTACTTTTCATTCCATCCAGGAAAATCACACACCAACTGTTGAAACTTCCTTAGCTGGATGAAGGGTTTTTGAACCCAAAAGCTTGCTTAATAATTGTTTTCCAACTATTTAAGTTGGTCTAATAAAAGATATCAGATTCACCCAAAGAACCTTGTCTGCCTATGTCCTTAGACCAACACAGCTACAACCTACACCCCTGGCACATATTTAAATACTTTCCTGAATCAGAAGAGATTTCAAGATTGGGCCCTGAGTTTCTGAACTGTTCTCTGTGTGTCTGCATTTGATTCTGATTTCCTATGGGCAGAAAAAGTATGTTATAGCACTGACCATAACTTCTTTGTGCAGGTCTTCAATCCACTTGGCAGGTTAGATAATGAATACTGTTACATTAATACGGTAAAATGCTTTGAAGGTGAAAAGAGTTAATCAAGTGCCAAGTTGCACAGTTGTTACCAAGAGGGCCTAAGGGAGAAAGTCCACAGCATAATCAAGAAAGATTGAACAGTTGAACAGTGCAGGCCCGAGGACCGGGCCCTGCGGAGCCCCACTGCCCACACCCCTCCAGGTCAAAAATGACCTGTCCACCACCACTCTCTGGGTGCGACCTTCCAGCCAGTCAGCGACCCATTTGATTGTGTAGGTGTTGACACCACAGTCCCCCAGTTTCGTAATGAGAACGGGGTGAGAGACGGTGTTGAAGGCCTTCCGAAGGTCCAGGAAGACTATGTCCACTGCTACCCCTGCATCTAAGGATTTGGTGACCTGGTCATAGAAGGCCACCAGGTTGGTCTGACAGGACCTGCCTCCAATGAACCCATGTTGGTTGCCCCTAAGCATAATCTCCCCTCCTTGCCCCTCGTGGATATGTGCCAGAATAATTCTCTCAAAAAGTTTGCCCAGGATTGAGGTAAAACTAACTGGCCTATAGTTTCCCAGGTCCTCCTTCCTCCCCTTTTTGAAGATAGGAAATGCACTGGTCCTCTTCCAGTCCTTTGGCACCACACCAGAGCACCACAAGTGCTTGTAAAGCCATGCCAGGGGTCCCGCAACAACCTCAGCCAATTCCCTCAGCACTCTGGGGTGGAGATTGTCCGGACCAGCTGATTTGAATACATCCAGTCCCTCCAGAAGTTCCCTAACTAGTTCCTCACTAACCCTTGGCCTAGGTG